AGTGGCCCAGGACAGAAAAGTTGCAAAATTGAGATTTCAGGCTTTTATTTAATTAAGCTTCCTTTGTTAAATCTCAAACGTCGTCACGTTCATCAAAGGACATCGTATTAGTATTTACCCACTGGAGGACACCATGTGTTGCAAATATACGAGAGATGATCTCATATAAATGTAAAATCTCATATCTTCATGTTTATTGTGTGCGCCTATATTAAACCAATGACTGACGCTGTGACGCTCCAGCAACGGCAGCTGGCAACTGAGATTTCTGTGCTCTACCTTCGATTCCCAATCGGGGCACAATAATAACATCCTCGTTGCATTGCACATTTATTGCATGAGCCAGATATGCTTTCCTTTTGCGCCTTTTAATAAGCGCGTATATCCGTGGCCAACCCAGCGGTCCATTTGCGTGTGGCTCCGTTGAGGACTGGCCAGCCGCTGCACTCATCGACGCCCACAGCTACGCCCACAAGCATGACCAGTTATGACACATCGTGTCTCGTGTCGTAAGGCGCAGATGTTCAGCAATTTGGCGTGGCAACAGTTTGGCAAGAGTTCGAGCAGCTAACCGACAGCCGCCCACTTTATTTCCGCTCGCAATATACTTTTATTTATTTGCTTTGTGCACTTTACTTAAATGAAACTGTGAGCGATAAAAGCGGCGCAATGTACCGCCCAAGTAGCCACATGGTGTCAAGTTGAATGCATTTCTTTCAGTCCAGTTGAATTGAGTCCTGCTGCAGTTTTGTTCTTGGACAACTGAAAGTAGCATTTCATTAACATTATTTATAAAGCACTGAGAGCAGCTGCAATTGCCTTTAGTCTCACTTTAAACAATTGCAAATATATTTATTATGATGCCTCTATTGGTCCATAATCTCCTTGCAGCATTAATCAATCCATTCATGCACAATTAATGCACATTTTCGTTAATAACGCTTCAACTGATGGTCATATGGATTCTCTTCCTCTCTCTCTCTCTCTCTGTATACCGTCGATACTCCTGCAGCGACGTAGTGCATTCGATAGTGATAATAAAATAATGACGCATTTAAAATCAAACGCAAATAAGAGTGCTCTAGCCGCCAGTGACCGTCTTGGCAGCACCCCTCAACTTGCTGCTGTTTCAATCACTGTACGCCTTCTATCCTTGTACGCTTCTTATGTATGTAATAAGCGTCACATGCACATACATACGCATACATGTAAGCACACGCGTATCTATCAAGTAAGTAAGTAAATTGTAATAAATTTCAACCTGAAAAGGGGAATTCATTGAAAATGAGAATTACACTTAAAAAGCTTTTTTTTAATTACATGTAACAGGCAGAAGGAGGCATGGTAAGACTCATAAAGTTTATTCAATGAATGACCAGGATCAACAGCAGAGCCAATTTTTCCTTGTACGCCGTCTTTCTGTCTTTTAGCCTGTATGAATGACTCTACAGATCTATAATCGATGGTTACCGGCTCTAAGTGCTATAAAATACTTGAATTGCAGCTGTAAGTATAGCCAATATGTGAAGATTTTTTTAATAAACTCATACTATTCTATATATATTATTCTATATATTTATATGTAGATCACAAAGCATAGCATTTCATACATACAATACAATTATTCAGAAGTTATTAAATAAAACGTTTGGACCATATGATAAGCAGCGTCAAGCGTAGGCAATCGCTCGCATTCTTTTCTATTCAAGCAATCACAATTGAGATTGAATTGCGTTTAAATTGCACTTTCATTGTCAATTGATATGTAGTCTAGGATTTGTCACTTTGTAAGCGGGCAGCAAATGACAATAGACAGAGGGAGAAAGAGAGAGAGACGTTGTCGAGTCGAAGATAATTTTTGTTTTTGGAAACAAATATGACATATAATTGTGAATATAGAATTCGAATTAAGTTAAGAGAGAACAATATTTGTTGTAGCAATTTTTCAATTTAAAAAACAAGAAGTTGTTTTCTTTTTTTTTTTAATTTCAATCAAAAGCTTGGATCAACTCATCTGAGCTGACAAAAATACCGCTTCTTCCTGATGCTTTGACTGCGCTTTGATCACGAGTCAATTAGTCAGTGCAAAAAGTACCAAAGTAATTGTAATAGCATATACTCTATTGTTATGATTACAGCTAATTTGTCAGCCAATCTCAAAAATCAAAAATGTAACTAGCTATATTTACCGTGAGTTAAATTGTGGAAAAAGACAGAGAGTAAGCGGAAGATGCTCGCAATAATCCTGCAGTATCGTCGGGTACTACAGGCGAACCGCGACTGTCAGCTGAGCTTTGCTTTGGTCGAGAATGATGCCGCGAGGGCTGTGGTCGCTATAAACGCGATATGAATCAATAGAATCAATTTGTGACGTTGCTGTCACCCCCTGCAAGTCACAGCAGAGCTTCAGAGTGTTGCACTGTGAGGTTGTCACCCTGTTCAGGGCGCCGTGTGAAAAGCAAACAGATACTGTGCTGAGGGCTTCCATTAAGCGGTGCAACACGCTGAATAGAGTAGAGCGCGTGTGTGCTATGTAAAAACATTATGAGGCAAGTAGTGTGTCAGTCGATGCGCGTAGCTAATTGATTTGAGCTGTGCACAGCAGTCAGTAAAAATAAATTGCGATATCAGCTAACAAAATTATTATTCAGTTGAAGCATAAACAACACGTTCGCCGTGCTAATTCTACGTACATAAATAAGCTCTTGCCCACTGGACCGTTCCACATGTCCGGGACCAACATGGCTTTTGCATGTCGCCCTCTGGCAATGGATAGCTGTCAACAGACGAATGCGAAACGAAATGTAAATGCAAATAAGCTGACTCCAATTATAAGCACTGCATCATTCTGCTGGATCGACCAGCAGAGAGTGCACCTCTGTTAGCTGTATTTCAATGCTGACTGGTCCCGCTTCACGTAAGCTGGCTGCGGACAACAGACCGACTCGACTAGTTACATGAAGTTGGAACTAATTAGGGATAATGAAATTTCAATGTACGTAGGGCACGCAGCCTTGTAATAGATATCTGTCATGTGTTACATGTTATTTTGGTTTGCAGAGTTTGAACAACCAATGTGCGAAAGAATTAGTGAAAGATGTGATTAGTGTTTCATATGGGCAACATGTACCAAATGACTGATTTGGCTGTGTATATCGTAATTTTCAAATTGTATATTCTCATATTGTACAGTAATAATAATTCACTTTCACATGAGTGTAGCATATATTTTCGTCAATAGAGGCTCTTCCTTCAGCTCTCACTATTTGTATTACCTCAGCAATTGGCGTGGAAATAATTTTATTCAGCATATAATTTTCTGTCGCCATGCAAAATCTAAGATATTTAATAGAATACCAGTCATAGCTCGATTATCCATGTAACGTATCGAAGAATATAATTAGCACCTGAACTATGCTGAGCATTTCGACTTGTGTAATTGTAACTGCGGTTGTCTAGTGTATCTGTGCAAAGAGACATCCAGGTCGAATTGTCATAGTCAAGCACCCACGCCATGTGCTATATTATTTGCGAAAGGAAATAAAAATGTATTAAAAATATATTATTTACAGTTGATTGATTTTCAATTTAGTCCAGGCATATATATTTACTACAGTCACAAAGTAAAGAACAACTCTTGAGTTGTCAAGTGAAAACAACACAATAAAGCAAAATCTAGAGTATTTCCACAACGAGCAATTAATTTGAAGTAATATTTTTGTAAGAGCATTCGTAATGATATTGCTTGAGCCTTGCACTAGTTTCGGTCCAGATAATGTAAATTCAAATGCAGTCGACATCAAAACAGACAGAAATCATTTCACCAACTACTTTGTTATTTTTCTTTTCTTTTCACTTTCCAGTACGCAAAAGGAAATTCTACAATGTTGCTTACACAACACACATACAGAGAGCAAGTATTGTGTGCAGCTGTGTAATTATTTCACTTGCCAAACGGATCGAGTGAGAGACCCCTTTGAAATATTCTGGGCCTGGCTAGAGTTTGGGCTGTGGAAACTCCAGGAATTCGCCGCTGCTATTGAAAAGAAGGCAACAGCAGGACGCGCTTCAATGATTTTTCAGGGAGACTGCAAAAAGAAATAATAAGTACAAAATGCGCATGCAGAATGGAGCGGAAACGGCAACGGCAACGGCAACTAAAAAGCATGCCACACACAATGAAATGGACTAGATTCCTTATATTGTACTCCTTTTGGCACTTCCGCTGCGTAAAGGCAGGCTTTTTTACACTTTCCAGGCAAACCAAATGCAGACAATGAGCAATGCAAAAATGTTGTGAAAGATGTCTCAACGCCAAAAATTTTACAAACACAAAATTTATTGATTTGAGAAAAGTGCATACTAATCGCTTGACTGCTTCGCTACTGTAGCTATGCAGCTATGCAGCCTTGACTGACTCAAAAGTAAAATGAAACAAAAATTGCTTGATTTATTTTTAAAATTAACACTGTTTTTGTTTATTTTTATGCAATTTCACCACCATTTACAATATGCCCTCACAAGGCGATCGTTTTACATGTAGATTTCATTTATAATCATTTAAATATATTTTACACACATTATGTCCTTTTGCTTCGACTTGCATTCCATTTCCTTGCTTTTAAACACATATATTAGATTTTCTGTTACGTTAGTTAGCACATTTAATAAATAGTTTGACTTTTAGTTTGAATTCGGTTGTGAACATTGATTTAATGGATGCATGGAATTATCTGATGTTTCTCTGCTTAACTAGGCTAACTTCGAATGGTTTTGCTTAAAAGTAGTTTGGTTTTTAGCTCGCTAGTTTAGACACCACATTCAAAAATGTAGAGTTAATTAAAAGCTATCAAATCGAAAAGTATTAAATATAAAATTGAAAACAAATAAATCAAATGAAACGAAGCTCTAATTGAACCAACTGAACGTTGACAGCACATACTTATTTAATTAAACCGCATATAAAATATAATCCATAATTTGATTACTTAACAATTAAACTAATTTGTAACACACACAAGTAGCTCCAGCTGCTGCCCATGGCTAGCGCCCAAGTTAATTAGCCCAGAGCTGGCCAGGCCAGCCGCTGCAGTGGCGCCTTGTAGGCGGGGCAGCGTGGACGTGGACAGACGACTCTCACTGGAATTGGAATGCACGATAGCAGGGCGGTCGTCGAGTCGAATGAGCTGTGCCACGAGCTCGCGGATCATGTGGCCAACCAGGGCGCCGCCACTGATAAGAAGCGCTATCATCGTCATTGTAATGGGCGCCAACTGGACGCCGCCGACGCGTCGGGATGCCGCCGATGAGGAGAAATACGTGGTGAAGAAGTTTTTCACGCTCGAGCCGGATGAGAGCGTAACTGCAGCCGGAAGCCAGCAGACAGAGGGGCATTCGTGGAGAGTTGACAAAAACGGAAACGGAAGGCACATATATTATGGCGTAATTAGCTTAGAATACCAGAACGCAAACACATTCAAAATTCATATGTGAACTTACCACGTGCCGGTACCGGATCCTTTTGTGGGGTGCCCAATTCAATTTCCTTATACTCCTGATAGAGGTCGCCAATCTGTGCGGTGCAGCGCAGCACCAAGCCGCCCGGATTGGGCAAATACATGGGTCCGCCATGGCCATACACAGAGTTCACGCCGTATGGACTGGTATAAATTGCCGGATTAACGCTGGAGAAGTGCACGCCCTGCAGCTGCAGCTTGAGCGAGATGCGTGATGCAATCAGATTATCAATTGTGCGAATAAACTGGGTCTCGGCATTTGTTATCTGTATGGAAGAGAGAGAAGGGCGTGGAGAATGAAATAGAGTGCATAGGCTGGAAGCGGAGACATATAATTTGAACACTGTGTCTGTTTATTCAGCGCTTCCAAATGCATTTGCATATTTAAAGTCGGCAACAACAACAGCAAGAACTGCGAAGGCAATGGGAAAAACAACGACAACGACAACGACAACGACAAGATTTGGCAACGTTTAGCCCCGGTACTCGTTATACTTTTGTTTGTTTTCGGACAAGCAAAAAGTTTTGCCAGCTAGCATCTTGTCGCCATTTGCAAGTTGGCACAGCGCGCTCCTAAAGAGCCTGGGGAGGCTGGAGAGGTTGGCCACATGTGTCGGCAATCCAGCCAGGCAGCCAGCCAGCCAGCCGGCCAAGCAGACAGCTCAGGCCGGCGGCTCTTTGCGTATGCATGGAAATTATGTATCAAGGAACTTTATCTGTGTTAATGTAATGCAGCAAAAAGCAGCGGCAGCAGCATCAGGCAGCGGCAGGCAGCGGCAGGCAACGTCTGTAGTACAACACAAACAAAATCCCAAGAAGGAAGCGTCTTACAATTGCGCACATTAGTGGCACTGGCTGTGGCAAAGTATATGGAGGCGGATGTGGAGACAGAGGCATATGCTGGCAGGACATGCAGCTCAAATGCGCCAGACGACGCATTGATGAAAGTTTTAGCCAGTTTTTCAGCTTTCAGCTTTCAGCTTTTCTTTCTCTTTCGCTCCTTACATATACGCGCCATTTTGCCATTTATTCGAATTGCGTTTGTATTGGGGCATGTCCGTTTTCTGTGCATGTCCAACATTATGTCCACATCCACTCCATCAGTGTATGTGTGCGTGTAAATCCTCACTGGGTAAGTCCACTTTATCTGCGCCAGCTTCAAGATGCTTAAACTTGCATTTAGCTTAAATGCTGCCAGCAGCTCCTTCATGCGAGAACAGCTTTTATGCTTAATGGCAGTTATTTAGTGCAATTCACTGTAAAGTTGTAGCCAGGGCTAAATTTTGCTGTTGGCTCGCTCTGCGATGGTCTGGTCGGTTCCTGCTCTGATCTGCTCTTTGCTCTGCATATGCATGTGTGTGTGTGTATGTGTGTTTGTGTACGGTGGGCGTCTCCATGTGTGAGTGTGTAGAAAAGGATTTTCGCTTATATAAATAATTTTTATTTATGCGCATGCTAAAATGCGCACAGTTTTCGCATTCTGCTTATGTTTTGCAAACAAGAGAAATTATAAATTCTTAATAGTTTTGTGCATTTGCCAGAGGGTTTTGAATCTCTTTCAGATTTTGATAAAAAGACACGGCAATCGGAAATGGAATGCACTGCAACTGTTTATGATATTTTGAGTTTTGGTTTTCATTTCACAGAGCTTTCTTAAGTCTACAAAATGAAAAAGTTTTCACCAAAAGCAAAGTATGCAAAGTAAGCCTTAAAACAATTGTCAAAATTTCATAGACGGTCCTCAACAGTCCAAAGTAGAAAATTACCAAATGTGCTCAGCTCTTAAAAGGTAGTTAAAAATTTTATAGTAACAAGAAATATGGACTGCAATGATTCCTCTTTACCTCGACACCCAACAATAAATATAGCAATGCAAGGACTATATTTTAGAACGTGTCCTGCTCGTGTTGTGTACTATTTGTCCTTTGTCTGTATGCAATGCATTGTGAACGTATCGATAACGTATAAATTGTGAATGGTACTGCAATATCTTGGGGCGGTTGCCAAGAACTTTGGTGCAAAGGGTTGGTGGGCTGGCTGCCTGGCTGGCTGGCTACACGACCTGCTATGAGAAGCTTTTTTCAATTTTCCGCTAAATTTGGCATGGCCCAAGTGCTATTTGTCTTCATTAAGGGCTCCATGCGAATGCGCCTAACAGTTGGCAATGTTTATATAGGTTCGTTGGCCTTAGTCGCAGCGTCTCTTCTCTAACTCCAATCCGTTCCGCCTGCCTGCCTGCCTGGAAATTTGCGTAACATTTTGAAGCCGAATGCCAAATGACATGCAGCAGTTATTAATTGGCAATTTACATGCCAAATGATTAATGCCTGGCCCGGCGGAAGCAGCCAGCCGAAAACGAAGCCACAGCATCCCTACAGGCCACATATGTCACGGCTACGTGTATGTGAGCGTGTGTGTGTGTGTGTGTTGGTATTTGTGTGTTCTCTGCAAATTACTGATGTGGCTTTTTACCACAAAAAACTTTGTCAACATAAAGTTCAGCTCCGGTTCCAGCTGCCGCTGGCGCAGCTCCTGGGCAGGTTACCTTCCAACGTAAACTTTGTTGCCGCCTGCTGAAGTTCCTGCTGCTGCTGTATGGCATGCGAAATATGCTACAATGTGTATGGTTCTCTGTGTGTGTGTGAGTGTGAGTGTGAGTGTGAGAGTACGCCCGCTTCCCCGACCTCTTGTTGATTTGCACAGCATGAAATATTCATTTGTTTCCTGTGATCGGCAATTGCAATATATCTTCCTTCTCCTGCGGTATCGTTTTCTACTCAATTTTAGTCAACGTCTGCCACGTTTGCTTACGGTTTGTTGCCTTCCTTCGCATTGGCAATGGTAATGGCAATGGCAATGGCAATGGCAGTTGCCAAAAGTACTCGCTCCCCGACTTGGCATGCCCGATAAGCTATCATTTCATTTTCAAGCAACAACGAAGCCTTGCCATTGTTGTTGTAGTTTTTGTTCCAGTTGTTGGCAGCAAGGAGCGAAGGAGCTCACCGCACGCTGCATTCGAGTTATTGCGGTGCAAATGATTTGAATTCATTTATCATGTTTAATGTGCGCATGCTAGCAAACTGCACGAATGTGGCCACCATTTTTCAAACGCATGACAACACTTTGAAACTGTCCGAAGCCGACGGACCAGAAGCCAAGCAGCTAGATAACATTAAGCCATTCAAAAGTGGGTTGGCAATAAAGCCTCAATAGTTTAATCAAACCGGGACATCCCTTTATCACTTTTATTTTATTTAATACAAATTCTAAGAAAAGTTAGTACGTATATATGAATTTTAACAAATATATTTTTTAAATAAAATATTGTCATCTAAATACATCGACATGATTAGCTTTGGCTTGGGTACGACTATATCTGGGTCATTTTTAAAACACATGAGAACTGCTTTGATATGCTTGCTGCTTAGGATTTTCCATCAATCATCGTAAAAACCGCAACTAGAATTCAACTTTATTGACTGCAGCTCAGTTTTTTCTGCAAGCCATAAGGCAATAGCAAAGGACCCCATAAGAGATGCAAAGTTATGCACCCTCAATCCATCGGCAATCAGTTGATTCTTGAATAAATGTATATGTATGTGCGAAGCTCTAACTATTGTCGCTGTCACTGGCTCCTGGCACATCGCTTTTATCTCCCGTAAGAGAAACAAGTGCTCGGCCAACCAGATGAGAGAATCTTAAACTTGACCATTTAACTGCTCTTGACATTTTGCCAGGCGTGCCAGTTTGGAAGAGTTGGACCCTAGTCAGCCACCAATTTATATAGAAATTGAAGGCGAGCCGAGCCGAGCGTGAGCGAGCAGCACCATGACGCCCGAGGCATGCATATTCATAAAATTGCGAAGCAAAATTTTTCGCTCCGACAGCTAGGCAGAGTCGGCAGTGTCGACAAGGGATACCAGCAGCCAAAAGTGAGAATTCACCCGAAATGACAGCTTCCACAAGCGCACAGCTGTGACACGAGGCCCGTGCGACCAAAATGCAATGAAGGACTAGCAGCTGGGTGCCGAGAACCGAGGGCTGGATGCTCACAAAGGATAGGGTGTTTGTAATGTTTGCTGCGACCGCATAGAAATCCGTTTTCACAGTAACCAAACGACAAGAAAGAGGCCACAGCTGCGCTGCATGCATTGTTAATACACATGACAATGTGTACGCTAGCTGGCAAAGTGTAAAATTGCGCATACGCCATGTTTGCAAGCGGACAAAAGCAAGTTGGAGTGGTGGGCATTGCCTCCGTCCGTCAGTGCTGGCATATTTTCATTTTCGTTTTCGTTTTCATTTTCATTTCTCATCGGAATAGACCACAACTTCAAAGGATTCAACAGCTTTGAACATTAATAATCTCTGACCCGCTGTCAGATTTTCTCATTCATTTTTTTATATTTTTCTTGCAGACTGCACACAATAAAAAATTCAAGAGAGTTTTTAAAGCAAATTCATTCATTTCCTTACAGACTTCAAAAATTCGCCTCTCCAATAACTGTACTTACCACCATATTGTTAATTGTGAACTTTAACTCGGCACGTGGACGAGACGGCGGCGTGCTGCAGTTGGCTCGCAGAACATCGCCGGGCTCATATCGTGTGTGCTCCGTATACAATTGAGGACGTTTGTCGGGCAGTTCTGCAAGTAGAGAAAGACGTTTGTGTGTTAGAAATATATATAAATAGCTTATGAGGTTTTGTATGCTTGTTGACCTGGCAAGGTTGTTGCTACGGGCATTTTTCAAAATATTATTAGGCCCTTAAGTCGCACCGCAGTGCTGGCCATAAGTCCAATCCTTCTGCACCAACCACAACATCAGACGGGGCCACGTTCAACTTTTTAATTAAGTCAGCCAAAAGCAAAGTCAAAGTCACAGCCAAAAGCAACAGCAACAAGAGTAACTAATGAAGAAAGTAATTTCCATGACAAAAACGGCAACGGGAACTGTGAGTTCATGCTGCTCGACTGGGTCCCGCCTCTCGACGTAGCTTAAGGCGACTCGCTTTCTAATCCGTTCCACCCACATATAGACACACAGAGACGGGGCAGCTGAACTATTCCTTCGTGCTGTTGCGGTTCTTTTTGCGGTTTTTTTTTGACTGACCTTTTCCGTTGGCTTTGCAGTTGTATGGGGAACGTCAAAGGGCTCCTAATGAGGGTCAGCTGTGAAGACCAACTCCGAGTTTAATCTAGCAGCTGACCAGCCTACTTTACATTTGGTCGGCACCTCGCTGAGCGAATCCCCGCTTGACTTATGTCATTAAGTTATTAAAGTTTAAGCCCTTCAAATGTTTGCCAACTATCTACAAACTTGCACAGCTATGTGCCATGGCATTTGGGTCGCCTGCTGCGCTGCGAAGCCGTGTGCCATTGTGACTTAATGAAAGCGTGAATTAGCATAACTTTGCTCGACTTGCCTTGGCATTCAAATGCCAGCGTCGACGGCAGCGTCATTTTACTTAGGCTTCAGCAGCCAAATGGCAGCCTTTGCCGCTCCCCGTCGCTGATCCCACTGTCAATGTCGTTGCTTTCCATAAAGCGCAAGGACAAAGTGTTTATTTTATGTGTAAGGCAGCGCAACGCAGTCACATTTACTTTTGCCCTCGCTTTTGTTTTGGCATCTTGGCCCGCAATCTGATTGCCACTTGAGCTCATTAACACACGATTAAACCTCAGGACCATTTGCTTCAAGGACAGCGGCACATGAATAAGCGAGCTACTGCATAAGTGAATGAGTGAGCGGAACTAAGAGGAAGCCACAATGAGCCAGCGGAAATGCATAAAACATAAGCGAACGAACGGCGAAGGATGCGCGGAAATACAGGAAAGATAACATTCAGAGGACCAAATCAATAAAGTTAAATATTCGTATAGAGTAAACAGGTTATTTCCAAATTCTAAATGTAGCCCAAATGCATACATATTTTATATAGATATTTTGTACGGCCGTAAAGTGACTCAAGGCCACCTTATTATTCCTGTTAAGTTATTTTCAATTGCGCTCTATACAATTTGAAACACTTTCAAAGTTCATTAAAAAATTTACTCAAAGAAAGTTTGCATGAATATCTAACTTTAGAATTCTCCAGACATACTTAATGAGAAATAATATTTTAAGAACATTCATAAATTTTTAAAAAGCACCTAATATATGTCTGTTTTGCTATAAAGGCGTATGCTCAATATGCTTTGTGTTTGCTTTGGTTTGGCTTGAAGTTATTTATTGTCTATCCCGCAAAGTTATTGGGGGCTTAGTGTCGACGGCATTAAGCCTTAAATGCCTAGTTTTGTAACACAAAGATATAACGAGGAGAGAGAGAGAGAGAATAGGACACTCATAAGTACATTGCTATACAGACACACAGGAGTTAACACGCGCCAGACTTTTCAGACCCGATATCGTGCTGTCAGAGTGTCAGGCGCTGGCTTATCTCATATTGATGTATGTGTAAGCATAACAACAAAGCCAACAACACGTGCAGCCAATTAAAAGCCTCAGCATTAAATGAATCTTGAATAACTAGAGCAATAGACCGCGTCAGGCGTCCTTGAATGGCCCTGGGCATAGTGTTGCGACTGGTAACCTCATGAATTTAAAGCAACTGCTTGATCAAAGCTTTAATCCCTTGATGCCAGTTAAGCAAAAGCGGCCAATTAAGCGAGCTAAATGCGGCGTTAAATATATTGAGCTAAAACAGGGAAGGCATTGAGGCAGCCAAGCAGCCAAGCAGCCAGGCGACCGAGCAACGGGGCAACCGGGCAGCCAGACTGGTTAGATGTTGAGGTAATGGCAATCTAATAAAGGCAGCCAGTTACGCGCCAGACGCGCACATCTAAATGTTTAATGGCGGGCAATAAGCAAGCAGCCACAGAGCCACACAGCCACGCAGTCACCCAGATACCCGGCTCTAACCATCGCGGCAAGTGCTCAATCATACAAACACATCAGCTCAAGAGTGCTGCGACGTGGCAGGGTGCGCAGAGCAGAAAGAAAATTGCGCGGCAAGTGGTATAAAAATCAGCGTTTGTAGCAGCATTGAGCTGTCAGCGAGAGTTTCTCGAATATTTAATGCGAAACGAATATAGAGATTAACTGCTGAGCGATGTTTGCTTGCTGCTGCTGTGGGCCACACCCTTAACATAGCCGAGATTACGCATACGCACGGTGTGCCATTTATGAGCTATTGACCCAGTTGCCCAGTTAACCAATGGATTGGCAATTGTTGCTGGTATTTATTGGCAATTTCTATCGGTACATATTTTCCGACATGATTGCTGTTCCTGCCACAGCTGCTCCCCGCAAGCAAATCTGCAAATGCGCAAAGCCCGAGCAAAATCTAAATAATTGTTTAGATTGCTCTTATTGTCATCCGTGACACAGGCGCATTGATTAAATTCCTAATTCCGAGCGTGCCATCGCAGGCTCGTTTAAAACGCATAAGACTGTGAAATGCTTGGCGCGCCAGCAGGACTACCAAATGACCCAGACGGGCATCCAGGTATCTGGGTTCTAGCAGCACCTCCACACGACGTTTATCTGCTAAGCGAAATAGCCTGTTAATGACGCAATTTCCAACACAAGTTGCTTGCCTCACAGAACTTTTAAAGCGTCGCCAGCTGGCGTGACCTTAGCAACCCCAAATTGCCTTTGCCGCGCACGAAAGTTGTATCTTTTTTTATTCTCATTCAAGCCGCCGTGGCTACAGGTACTTAATTCAGACTTAGGACCAGCAATTCTAGATTGCTCAAGTGTCAAAGGAATTGCCACTGAGCTCGATTAAGCTATCACTTTTAGCGGATGACTGGCTGATGATTCTCAATGTTTGACTTACCTACAACCTGCAGGACGGCCAGTGCAGTGGCTGTGGAGAAAAGCGGCGCATCGGCGGTCACCTCACACGAAAAGTTCCCAGAAAGGCCGAAGCCAACGTTGCGTATGAGTACTTGAGTGGCATTTGAGCTTGTTACCTAAAAGAGACAGAGAGCAAGAAAAAAAACTTAAATATTTTCTTATACTAAATCAGATATATGTATTTATTGAAGCTTACAACAAGCGGCGAGGCACTTCGTAATCTATGTTATCTGGCACAAGCTCAAACATCGAGTGCACTTAGATATATTAAGACGGCAACAAGCCAGAGTACATTGCTTCATTAAAAATAAATAAAATGATGATACCCAGGATATATATATATAATATATTTATAAACAGAGTAAAAGTTGAGAACGACAAAAACTAAAGATAAACTCGTTGGCACAAACTCAATAGCCTGATGAAATATTTGGACAGATTCAGCGCAACTTTATCGGGCCAACAAAATTTCACTGATGGCCGCCTGACCAGCCTCCGGCTGGATGAAACTTTTTCAATAATATAGCCAAAGTAATATTATCTGGCTGAGGCAACGAGTTGTGCGGGATGCTACTTTCACGTGAACGACCGAAATTTCAGACGCTGCCACACAAAAATTTAAATGAAAATATTTTGTAGATAGTCGCTTCCGATAGCTTCGTGGCATACAGGCCAGCAGCTGCAGTTGCAGGTGTCTTGGCTGGAGCTGGCTTTTTGAATACCCGCCAATAACAATAAAACTGCCAAACTGAATATGCATGAGCCAAAAGTTATAAAATATACAATATAAATAAATGCAGTGTGAGCGCAATTAAGGGCGTCAAAGTGACGCCGCGGCCAGCTCCAGTGGCCCAGTCGTGGCAACCCCAGGCATAGCCTGAGCCAGGTGGTCAGCCCGGACGGGGACGACAGCCGCCTAGACAGTGCGCCGGATCGGCAGCTGCATTTGCATGCAACGTTAACAAGCTGCCAAAGTTGGGGGCGCTTAAAAAGTGGAACAATTTCACGTTGTAAAGCTTTTTACGTTCAGATATTTGTTTTACTTACATCGACGTGGATTCCAGGAAATGGAAACACCTTTGTATTGGGAAACTCGCCGGGCGTATAGCGGTAAAACTCCAATTGACCGCGATAGAACTTGGCCGAGTAGAGTGGTGCCCCCTCCAGATCGTACATGCAACGTAGCACAACATGCTGGCCCTGACGCACCGCCGGTGGTTCAATGATTAAATTGACATTTCTCAGCGCACACTCAACCAGCTCTGAAATGGAAAAGAGCACAATGAGAATTATAATGTGAAAGTAATGAATTGTTTGTTTGAACAGCAACATATTATTGCGATACGAAAGCCCACGTGGTTACTTTCATGATAATAAATTTCATTGGTATTTTCAAGGTCTTACTTTTCCATGCAAATATGTCAGGGTAAGCAAAGGATACGGCCAAACCCCAATTATAAAAACTGGCCTAAGGTTTTCCTTGTTTGCTTACACTGAGACTTTTATTAATTGCCAAACAATCAACGCCAATTTCCGGCAACTTTATGGACGCCCATTTGAAAGTCGTTTGTCAACAAATACGTAGCATAATTCAGGGCGCCAAGGAAGCCACTTGGCTGTTTACAAGCAGCGGGACATTGCCTAACAAGCCACTCAAAATTTTTATATCTTATTTGGGTCACACTTCGTGCGGCTGTACCCTTAAGAATAATGGCACATCATTTGCGGCTTTGCCGTAGTCCCTCTGAGAGCCGAGAACTCGCCTCTCATCGGGGACGGTGTGTGAATCTCTCGCGAGGTAAATAAAATGAAATTGTTTTCATTTTTTTTTTTCGCAGCTTCTGTTGTTTGCGATGTTTTTGCTGCTTCTGCTGCTACTGTTGTTGCTGCTGCTGCTGTTGCTGTTGCTGTTGCTGTTGCTGTTGTTGTTTGACATACCAGCTGCAAGTTATAAATTACCTTTGGGAGTTGTTTGCATATTTGGGGCAAGGGCAACGTCTGCATCTGCTTATTATGTATGGCATGCCACCGATATATGAGTTTCATTATTTCTTTCTGCAGCTTTTCTTTTGCCAATTTCTCGTTGGCACCCTGCAAAATACATTATTACACTTTGACCTTAATGAGCTCCTGACCAAGTCCCCATAATTGGCCAGCAATGCCGACGATGAATTTTATGCGTGTCTCTGCAAGTTTGCCTTAAATCTTTTGGCACAAGCATTTGCACACGGAAATCGAAAATGAAAACGTAGTTTGTTTGATAATTGAAATTGCAAAGTGGAGTTGAGCTACGGCACATGTAGCTGTGGTAGCAACCGCAAATTCTTGCTTATTGCTCACAAAAGTTTTGCACGTTAGTGTGTGGCTTGCAGCCGCAGCTAGAAATCATAGCACACTCGCAGGACACAGCAGGGCGCGTTGCACAAAAAGTCAAACAATCTCTCTAAATCTGCACACACACGCACGCGCGCACTTGACTCCCCGTGTATGAAAGTATTCGCATATCAGGTAGAAAGTTTCTGCACAACTTACATATTTACCCGATTCGACTAAGTGCTTGCTTACAAGTGCATTGGCCTTATCCTTTTGCGATTTGTTTACAAGTAGAGCAACATACAAGTCCCTGGTTCCTAGTTTCGAGCTCTGGATTCCTTTGCCGAGAACCTCTACGCCCGCTCAGCTACTGTTTTCAGCATCAATGCAGCTCGCTGCTTGTTTTTGTTATTCTTGCATTGCCCAGCACAAGGTCCAACAATATTCCCTGGACTCAGTCAACGTTTGTCCAAAGGTAAACAGTTTTCACGCCGTTTTCAGCTGAGTTTCTTGGCATCTAGCATCTAGCAGCTAGGCAGCTCAGAAGTTCAGGAGTGCAGGAGTGCAGGAGTGCAGGAGTGCGGCTCGCTTTTTGCTCCCTTTATTGTTTTTCAATCATGCTAGAGTGCGTCATTGTGGGATTCGTTTGGCCACAACGCTGAAAAGCGTCAGGTTCGTTAAAACCGCAAGTGATACAGAATTGAAAAGTTAGATGCCAATATTTTTTGTACTTTTTTTTACCTTCCCCGGCTGCGCTTTCTGATGGTAGTTGTTGCTGAAAAAGTTTTGGAATTTGTTTGCATTGGCGGCAAGGAAAAAAGTAACTGCCATTTTTTTGGACTTCGCTTTGCTTGTTGTGGGGAGTACACAAAAAGTAGAAAAATTAAAATGAACACAATCTTAAATGTTCGATTGACCTGGACAAAATGTGGTTTAATACAGCGTTCAGCTCAATTCAGTTAAAGTTTCCGATGCACACACTCAAAGCATATGAATGCATAGTAAGATTAACTACATAAAAACAAAAGTTAAGGATAAGAGCTTGTCAGATGAGGGAATAAGTAAAAAAAATCAATAATTTTATGAAGCCTGTGACTTGAATAACTTTTGACAGTAAACAGCTTGTATGTCGACAGGTAAACAGTAAAAGCTATGATTTCATTTAAACAATAAAAATTGTTGTGCAATAGAGCAACAGGCAGCAGGCGCAGTAGCACCTCCTATCATAAATAAAGTGAAACAGATGGTGTACAGGCAAAGGGTGGGTGAGTTGTCTGAAACAAATGAAATGTGGGCATATTTATCACTGCATAATAATTTGTGGACTCACTCGCGTGCGAGAGTCGAAGCATAGCATAGAATGAATATATATACAGAGGACTGTGTGTGTGGGTGGGTAGGATGGAGTATTGTTTTGGTATTTAATAGGCTTTTGTTGCAAATTCAAATGAATATTGTTGCTGCTGCTACTTGACATGTTTACCCGGCATCGTCTACGCTGCTGCTGCTGCTGCTGCTGCCTAGGCAGCATATTGAAAGATTTATCATGCATAACACTGCAAAACAGCAGCCGCAACACCAAAACAGAGGACGAGCATGCGCCGCTCTAAATGAACCAAGGGGAAAACGTTTGTGTCGTTCCTCTAGCCATTGAGGCGTGCACAAAGACAACACCTGACTCGTTGCTGGCTTGTGTTGACAGAAGGAGCACATGGACGCACATAAGTATGCTACACATAATGGAATTTCTAATAAGCATTGCATGCTGCTACCTGTGCTGCCTTTGCTGCCTCTCCTGCTCGGCTGGGTCAACAGCATTTAAGGAGTAGGTCCAGACCAGGCAGCAGTAATCACTGTAAATGCTGGTGCAGTTCATTTGTTTGTACTACGTGGCCGGCACATACCCTACAGCCCCCCTCCAGCTTATTTTTTCCACATACTGCATACACATGGATGTACACTCATGTGAGAGTCGACTCGAGTGCAGTGTAGAGTAACATGCACTCCATTTGGTCAGCCAACGCAATTTAATTAACATAAAAACCCAGCTCGCAACATTCGAAACCATAAATCAAAAGCCCCGCACACGCCCAGCACTAAACTTTGCTGGAAGCAAAAAAAAAATAACCACTGTGGTTTTATTTGTGTGCGTGTAGAAATCCATGACACGGAGACAAAAAAAGGGTAGAAAAAACGCGAAACTGTGGTCAAGCTGGAAAGTCAAACAAAAAAATACTTCAACTTGCTGCTGGCTTTGCGCGTGCCTAGTATAAGAAATTATTTTTACATTCATTACCCGTTGATGGGAAACATCAAATATAAAATAATCTTAAGGAAAAATATATAAAAAATCATAAAAAAAAATTTAATAAAAATAACAAATAATCAATAAAAATTATACAATTTGATATTAATTTACTAGCTGTGGCTCTTCTGTATCTTTCAAGACTAAGTTCGAGATGCTTGCTTCTGTTAACTTCTTTTATATACACATTCTGAAATTAAATGCTAACCAAAATGGGATACTTTAAGAAATAAGGTTTGAGTGAAAAAAGGAATGGAATTTGTTACAAAATATAATGCTCGAATAGAGACGGCAGTTGAGCGCAATTTAATCCATTTTTGTGGCTGGCCAAGCCCAAACCTCTACGTTCATGTCCAAATAACATCAGCATAGACACAGCCGCAGCTCACGCCAACATAATTTTGTTGTTCTATCTGACTTTCCGTTGTAGTTCCTTATGGGCTTGGCCTGGGTAACTCAACACACATACACACCCCAGGCTGTCAGTTATGATATGACAATTAATAATTAGATATGCTGAGTGTGTCTGCTAAATAAATTGTAAAAGCTGAGGCATAGGATTGGTCAAGTCAACAATTTCTCGTTGCACCATAATTGAGAAAAAAATTGATTGAATTTAATTAAATCTAACAAATAACAGCATTTGAATACCAAATTGAAATATTGGCATATATTTGAGAAATAGAAAACAAATATGTTCTTAGAACTTCAATTAGGTTTTCTATCCAAATATAGTTTGCTCAGCACGCTGACCACGCAATCGGGAGCTGGTGTAAATCAAATGCTGACACACTCGAGTCTCTGCAAATAAACTTCACGCACAACTCTACAAAGCGACACCAGCACAAAGTAAACAAAGCAACAAAAATAAATGCGCTAAATGAAAAAATAATATGTAACTAAATTTAATCTGTTCTCTGTTCTACGAGTGGCTTGCAAGTGGATGATGATTATCATAGCGATGATGATGATAATAATGTTGATGTGCCATAACGGAGCTCGCAAACAAAATTCTCTCGCTGTCTCTGCCTGCAATTCTCGTGTTGCTCGTTTGTCGTTTGTCTCACGATAGTCCTTCTTTGCACAGAAGCGCTAAGCAAATAAAACAAAAAGGATAACAGCGTAAATATTGTGAAGCAGGCAAAGAATCTGCACACAGATAGACACACCCAAGTGTATACATAAAAACATGTGTGCGTCTGTGTGTGTGTGTGCAATTGTATTTGTAGTCTGCGGGTGACATTGCACTGCATGGCATACAGTTCGCAAGCTTATTTTTATATATATTTACAAATATGTATATGTATATGTATATGTAATTCTTTTTCTATTTGCCAGTTTTCATTTGCTTGCTGTGTGTTTTCTCATTTATACCTTTCTACTTATGTGCTTAAGCTTTTTATTTGTTTGTGTGTGTGTGTATCATCTACTTGTGTGTGAAAAAGCCTGTATACACGATTCGTATTTATTTAGCTTGTTTTTTCTTACACAGCTGCCGCGTGTCGACATGGCGTATACGCAACGTTTGAAACGAATGCATGACGACGATGATGATGACGGCGACGCCGTCGACGACTCAATTGAAGCTGGAGAGCAAAACATTTTGTTATCTCGACGCCAGCATCGATAGCGATATTCAGTTTT